GGATTTTGACAGTAAGGCAGAGGATGGTGACAGTTAGTAAGACAAAAGATTATGACAGTTAGTAGTGCAGAGCAGGGGGGGACTGACAACTCATGGGGCCCCCCGGCAATAGGGGATCATGAGGCCCATGTGTCCCTGCCCAAACTCAAAAAATCCTATGAAAAAGGTACCAGGGGCATCTCATGGGGCCCCCTACTGACCCCGGGCCCTTGGGAGGTGCCTGAGTTTCCAAACGGTCAGTCCGCCCCTGGTGCAGAGGATGGTGACAGTTATTAAGGCTGTGGAAGGTGACAGATAGTAGTGCAGAGGATGGTAACAGTTAGTAAAGCAAAAGAGGGTGACAGTAAAGCAGTGAATGGTGACAGTTAACAGTGCAGAGGATGGTAACAGTTAGTAGTGCAGAGGATGGTAACAGTTAGTAGCGCAGAGGAAGGTGACATATAGTAAGGCAGAGGATTTTGGCAGTAAGGCAGAGGATGGTGACAATTGGTAGTGCAGAGAATGCTGACAATTCGTAAGGCAGTCAATCGTAACAGATTTTAAAACAAATTGTAGTGAGCGCTCTTGTATAAATGCAGCAGCTAGAACACTCCAGGTAACCACAATACCTTTAGAATATGTATATAAATGTAAATAATAAAAGTGCAGCGCTCAAAATGGATTAAAGGTAGTAAAAAGTCAATGCGATATCCGCGGTGCTCTCTGGATTGATGAGAACTTCCAGAGCTTTACTGCTTCAAATAATAGCAATGCGCACTCACCAGAAACGCATGGATTATGTGCATGTAGGAATAACCATCCCAGATGTCAGATCCATCAAAGACCAGGTGGTGGGCATCCCTCTCACGGTGGGTCATCAAGGACTCCAAATCAGGTCCAGAGGTCCCCTTAAGGTCAGTCAGGTAATCCACACTGATGGTAATGATCCCTCCTCTGGATGGTATAGGCACCTTCTCTGTGGGGGTAATAGCTCCACATAGGAGCCCCAGAAAACAGGTGCCAGAGATAGTGTAGTATGTTCTCAGATAAATTTTATTGGTTCAGTATTAGAACAGGGCAGTATGCATATCACAAAATGATTAAAAGTGAAAAACAGCAGTACTGACCCCAGTAAAGATGGCCGCCGGGCCTCCTCGTGGCCCCGGCGGTGAAATGACGTCATGCTCTGCACAGCTCCTCCTTAGGCCTTTCGTGCTACAGGCACATCATCAGAGGGGAGGCTGTACAGCTGTAGGCTGTGTCAATCGTAACAGTTAGTGAGGCAGAGGATGGTGACATTGAGGTAGTGGATGGTAACCGTAAGTAGTGCAGAGGATGGTGACAGTTAGTGAGGTAGTGAATGATAACAATAAGTAGAGCAGAGGATGGTGACAGTTAGTAGAGCAGAGGATGGTGACAGTTAGTAGGGCAGAGGATGGTGACAGTTAGTAGGGCAGAGGGCAATAACAGTAGTTCAGAGGATGGTGAAAGATAGTAGGGCAGTGGGTGGTGACAGTAGGGTAGTGGATGGTGACAGTAAAGCAGAGGATGGTGACAGTAAGACTGAGAATGGTGACAGTTAGTGGAGCAGAGCATGTTAACTGTAGAGCAGCGCATGGTGACAGTTGGTAGTGCAGAGGATGGTGATAGTTAGTAAGGCAGAGAATGATGTCAGTTACTAGTACAGAGGATGGTGACAGTTATTGAGGCTGTTGATGGTGGCAATTAATAGGGCAGAGGATGGTGACAGGCAGAAAATGGTGACAGTTAGTACAGCAGAGGATGGTGATGGTTATGGTTAGTAGTACAGAGGATGGTGACAATTAGTAATTCGGTGAATGGTAACAGTTAGTAAGGCATTGGATGTTGTCAGTTAGTAGTGCAGTGGGTGGTGACAGTGAGGCAGAGGATGGTGACAGTAAGGCAGTGGATGGTGACAGTTGATAGTGCAGAGGATGGTGACAGTCAGTAGGCAAATGGATGGTGACAGTTAGAAAGGCAGAGGATGGTAATAGTTAGCAGTGCAGAGGATGGTGACAGTTAGTAGTGCAGAGGATGGTGGCAATTAGTAAGGCAGTGAATGGTGACAGTTAGTAAGGCAATGGATGGTGACTGTTAAGTAGTGCAGAGGATAGTGACAGTTAGTTGGGCTGTGGAAGGTGACAGTAGGGCTGTGGATGGTGACAGTTAGTAGGGCTTGTGGATGGTTACAGTTAGTAGTGCAGAGGATGGTGACAGTAAGTCAGAGGATGAAGACAGATAGTAGTGCAGAGGTTGGTGACAGTTAGTAAGACAAAGGATGATGACAGGTAGTAGTGCAGAGGATGGTGACCGTTAGTAGTGCAGAGGAGGGTGAAAATTCGTAAGGCAGTGAAACGTAACAGTTAGTGAGGCAGATGATGGTGACAGTGAGGTAGTGGATGGTAACAGTAAGTAGTGCAGAGGATGGTGACAGTTAGTGAGGTAGTGAATGATAACAGTAAGTAGTGCAGAGGATGGTGACAGTTAGTGAGGTAGTGAATGATAACAGTAAGTAGTGCAGAGGATGGTGACAGTTAGTAGAACAGAGGATGGTGACCATTAGTAAGACAGAGGATGTGACCATCAGTAAGACCGAGGATGGTGACAGTTAGTAGTGCAGAGGATAGTTACAGTTAGTTGGGCCGTGAAAGGTGACAGTAGGGCTGTGGATGGTGACATTTAGTAGTGCAGAAGATGGTGTCAGTTAGTAGGCTGTGGATGGAGTCAGTTAGTAGGCTGTGGATGATGACAGTTAGTAGTGCAGAGGATGGTGACAGTTAGTAAGGCAGAGGATTTTGACAGTAAGATAATGGACGGTAACAGTTAATAGAATGGTAATAGTTAGTATAGCAGTGGATGGTGACAAATGGTAGTGCAGAGTATGGTGTCAGTAAGGCAGCGGATGGTGACCGTCAGTAAGACAGAGGATGGTTAACATCAGTAAGGCAGAGGATGGTTGACAGTCAGTAAGGCAGAGGATGGTTGACAGTCAGTAAGGCAGAGGATGGTGACCGTTAGTAAGGCAGAGGATGGTGACAGTAGTGCAGAGCATGGTGAGAGTAAGGCAGAGAATCTTGACAGTTAGCATGGTTACAGTAAGGCAGACAATGGTGATAGTAGAGCAGAGGATGGTGACAGTAGGGCAGTGGATGGTGACAGTTGGTAGTGCAGAGGATGGTGACAATAAGGCAGAGGATGGTGACAGTAGTGCAGAGCATGGTGAGAGTAAGGCAGAGAATCTTGACAGTTAGCATGGTGACAGTAAGGCAGACAATGGTGATAGTAGAGCAGAGGATGGTGACAATAAGGCAGAGGATGGTGACAGTAAGGCAGAGGATGGTGACAGCAGTGCAGAGGATGGTGACCGTCAGTAAGGCAGAGGATGGTGACAGCAGTGAGAGGATGGTGACCGTCAGTAAGGCAGAGGATGGTGACAGCAGTGCAGAGGATGGTGACCGTCAGTAAGGCAGAGGATGGTGACAGTTAGTAGTGCAGAGGATGAGTGCAGTCATTAGAGCAGTGACGTGTGTACAGGGGCTGAGAGGAGAGTAGAAATTTTACGCACATGCACAGATGGGGAGATCTTTTCTCCTGGCATGTTGATTCCTCCCTCCCTTGTACATCCTCTGTGATTTCAAACACAATCACTAGAATGGACGTGAGTGAATGGCAGATCGGGATCAGTGCAGCATTCCGGGTAGTTCCTTCCTTATGCCGCTCTGTAAAGCAGGATCGCTGATTTACTCTTCATCTGCAGATCGACGCGTTGCCCACCCTAAAATTAAAGTCAAAGTTCACCTTGACAAAAAGTTCAGCAGGAAGGCACCCGACCAAGAACACTCACAGACTCACAGACAGTAGCAGCAATGTGGAATGGAGTAGGTCTCAGATGAGCTGACAGCTTCTGTGCCAGACGGCAGAATGTAGTCTGGCCAGTCTGTACCCAAATGGGAGGATTCCAGGGAGGATGGCGTGTTCATATCCTGTCCCTACTGGTCTGGAACCTTTTCCTACTGCTATTCACTTTCCCTGACAGACGGGTGACCTGTCCCTATGCTACCCATTCACAAAATGCACACTAAACCCAAGAGTCAGACTCTGCTTGACCCAGGATGACCGCCATAGTCACATGGGGTAGCAGCGTTCAATCAAAGCTTCCACAGTGACTCAAACCATAGAGGAACAATGCTCCTCTTGGCTTCCCCTCCCTCTGCTATGCTGCTGCATTTGAGCACCACTTGCAGTGGAGAAAGTAGATTGCACCTGCTTACAGCTTTAGTAAAGAGAAAAGAAAACTAAATGCCCCTTATACCTTATCTGAAGTCATAATCATAGGACACCCTCAGTCCAATTCTTCCCCTCTTCTGTTTACTTCCTGGAAGGGTTCTTCTTTGGGTGTCCACCTCAATGTCTATGAGACATGGACACTTCCTCTAGGATGGCACTGCCAGGGCTCTTTTAGGAGAGAGAAGACAACATCATCACAGGGGGACTTCAGCAGACTGATAATCATGGGGTGCCATCACAGTGCTGGATTTCTGGTCCCCCACACAGGACTGCTACCTTCACAAGGTAAGAGTAAAAAACACTATCAGGATGGATCAGAGGGCGGATGGGAGATATGTATGGTTAACTGCTTAAGGACCGCCCTAGAGCAGATATACTGCTACAGCACGGCACCTGTGCGCAAATTCATGTATATATATATATATATATATATATATACACGTGATTTTGCATTTTCGGGTAGGGGCACGCGCGAGCCGTTTGTGCGCACTACCCGCGCCGCCATTCGTGACCGCGGATGTCAATCACTAGGTCCCAGCCTGTAACTACCCGCCAGCGCCCAGTGATTACCGAGCATCTCCGACAGGGAGTAAGATTGTTTTGTTTACAGACAGTCTTCCTCCCTGTCAGCTCGAGCACACTGTTCGGAATGGCTGTGCACAGTACGGACGCAACTGATAACGTGATGAGGTAAAAGGCCAATCACAGAGGCATTTTACCACGTGATTAGCTGTGTCAATGCCACAGCATATCACGGTGTAAATACAGTTGACAGTTATCGGCAGCACTTTCCTCACGCTGTCACAGCATGAGGAAAGTACTGCCGATAACTGGCAATTGTCACAGAACAGACCGGCACTGATGATCAGTGCCCTGATCATCAGTGACCAGTAGTGCCACCCAGCAGTGCCACCCACCAGTGCAGATCAGTGCCCAGCAGGGCCTCCCACCAGTGTCCAGCAGTGCTCCCATTAGTGCCACTCATCAGTACTGCCCAGCAATTGCACCCATCAGTGCCCATCAGTGCTGCCAGTCAGTGCTGTCAGTCAATGCCGCCAGTCAGCGCCGCCCATTAGTGCTGCCTATCACTGACATCAATACCTATTATGACAAGGCTGACATTCTGAAAACGGTTCCTAGATAAAGGTTACAAGGAGCACTCACTTGATACAGAGATCAACATTGTAGCCAATATGAATAGGGACGATATGCTTTCGGGTCCACCCACACTACGCAAGAGCATATTTTGCCCTTTCATTACTCCCTTTTCCATACAACATAAGGCCATCAGCAGAGCAATTAAGAAAAACTGGGATATACTCAAGGCCGATCCAGTCCTCTCTAAAGTTTTACCTGAGAGGCCGGAAATCGTCTTCAGAAAGGCGCAATCACTGAGAAACAGGATCACCCCTAATGTGATTGACCCTCCTCCTCGTCCCAGTTTATTCTCAAACCTTAAGGGCTTTTTCCCATGCAAGAGGTGCCAAATGTGTCTACATAGCAATATGTCTAAGAAAAAAATTGAAACTTTCACCTCAACAACAACAGGGAAATCTTATGACATCCCCATTTTAATTTCATGCAATACCCGTTATGTTGTATATCTTTTGGAATGCTCATGCCGGAAACAGTACATAGGCAGAACAACCAGAAGATTAAGGGACCATTTCCGAGACCACATATACAATATCAAGAGAGGTTTTCGCGAACATTCATTATCCAAGCATTTCAGATATTTTCACCAGAAAGACCCATCATCCCTCAAATTTGTAGGGATTGATGTAGCACAACACCACTGGCGAGGTTCCAATAGATGCAGGCAGGTCTTCCGTATGGAGACCAAGTGGATCTTTGAAATGAAGACCTTGGCCCCTGTAGGTCATAATGTGGAAATCGATATCAACTGTTTCATAGATAGCAGTTGAAAGGGGCCAGGGTTCCTGCGTATCAGGATTATCTTCATGATCAATACAGCAATATGGTTATACTTATTCAAGTTACTCATCATATACGTTTATTTCATGTATCTATTTTATTCATCTACTTTACTTATTTATTTTAAACGTTTACATTATATACGTTTGTATTTTACAAAATATATTTTACACATTCATGTTTTTTATATATTACACCTCTCATGAGGTTTTCTATATTGATATTCACCCACTGCAAGTTCACCTGTGATGATATGGACACTTGCATATATCTGTTTAATGTGTAAGATGTACTAATTACATATAGGAATAATGCAAAGTTTCCAGTTTTGTATATTTATATTTAATCTGATATAATGCTCCTAGTTTTATGTACATCTAGTTTTAAATAATATTTTATATTATATTGTTGTATATGAATTTAGTTATTGATATCCTCACAGACGCAGTTGGATCTGCAGGTTACTAGTATGCCTGGCACTAGCAAAATGGCGATCGCGATCATTGCCATATGCCGTACTAGCTTTCTGATCATTGCCATACACATACCAGCATCCTGATCACCACTACGTCATACCAGTATCCTGATCACCGTCATACACCATACTTGTGTCCTGATCGCCACCATACCCCATACCAGCTTCCTGATCACCGCCATACCCTATACCAGAGTCCTGATCACCGCCATATCCCATACCAGCAACCTGATCAGTGCCATATGCCATACCAGTCCTGATCACTGCCATACCCCCATATCAGATTACTAATCACCGCCATATACCATAGCAGCAGCCTGATCACCGCCATACATAGAAACATAGAAAAGTGACAGCAGAAAAAAGGCTAAGTGGTCCATTGAGTCTGCCCATTTTTTTTGTAGGTAGGTTTTTTTTTTTTGGGGGGGGGGTGTTTTTCTTTATTTGTGTGTGTTTTTTTTTTTTTTTTTTTTTTTTTTATTTGTTAACATTTTTGTATAGATCTATGCTTGTCCCAAGCATGTTTGAAGCTATTTACTGTTGGCTGGCTTACTACCTCTGCTGGAAATTTATTCCAAGCATCAACTACTCTTTCAGTAAATTAGTACTTTCTGACATTAGTTTTGAACTTTCCTCCAGTTAGTTTTAGGTCATGTCTCCATGTTCTTGATTTTGGTTTTGTGTTGAAAATACTGCCCTCCTAAACCTTATTGACCCTCTGAATGTATTTAAATGTTTCAGTCATGTCTACCCTTTCCCTTCTTTTCTCCAGACTGTACATGTCAAGTTCCTGAAGTTGCTCTTGATATGTTTTATCCCCCAGACCTTTCAGCATTTTTGTTACACATCTCTGGACTGTTCTATCTTATCAATATCTTTTTGTAAGTGAGATCTCCAGAACTGGACACTGTATGCTAAATGAGGTCTAACTAAAAATCTATATAGGGGAATCAGGCCCTCCATCCTCCTGCTAGTGGTGCATTCTAGAATTCTATTTGCTTTCCCCACTGCCTGGCCACACTGTTTGCTCATTTTGCAATCATCTGAAAAAAGTACCCCCAAGTCCTTTTCCGCTGAAGTCCTGGCCAACACTGTACCCCCAATGTTGTACTCTGTCAAGGGATTCTTTTGTCCTAGGTGAATTATTGTACATTTAGAAGCATTGAACAGTAATTTCCACTTTTTTGACTAATCTTCCAGCAATGCCAAATCATGTTTCATGTTGCAGACACCTCCAGGGGTGTCAAACCTATTTGGAAAGAAGAGTAAAGCAGCCAAATGCATGTGCTCCTGCACTGGACAGTGGACTCTACAATGTCAGTATCCCCACAAGAGTAAGAAAGGAATAAAAGCCTTGATGCCCTCAACGGACCAGGGAAATCCAAAGAGAACTGTATATAATAAACAAAAAGAGGGCACACAGGCCTGGTGCATTAACTTAAAAATTAAATTTTTTTATAAATTGTAAAAAAATAAAAATGAGAAGCATGTCGCAAGAGATGCAGCATGATCCAGGAACCCCTAAAAGTGGTCTTGTTGGGGATTGTGAAACTGGATAGCTGGTGGCTGAGGCGTTTTGAGGTTGTACCTGTTCCTCAGAGTCTGGCTCTGAGGAAGAAGTACAACCTCGAAACGCGTCAGCCACCAGCTATCCAGAGGTTAACAGTCCCCCACCAGACCACCTTTAGGGGTTCCTGGACATTTCTCTTGTGAGTATTTGGGCAGCACAGTGGCTAAATGGTTAGCACTTCCACCTGGCAGTACTAGGGTCGCTGGTTCGAATCCTAACCATGGCACCACCTGCCTGGAGTTTGCATGTTCTCCCTGTGACAGCGTGGGTTTCCTCCGGGTACTCTGGTTTCCTCCCACACTCCAAAGACATGCTGGTAGGTTAATTAGCTCCTGTCTAAAATTGTCCCTAGTATGTATATATATGAATTTAAGTTAGGGACTTTAGATTGTACGCCCCTTGAGGGTTAGGGACTGATGTGAATGTACAATATATATGTAAAGCGCTGCGTAAATTGACAGCGCTATATAAGTACCTGTAATAAACAAATAAATAAAATTTTACAATTTATAAATAAATCTCATTTTTAAGGTAATACACCAGGCCTGTGCGCCCTCTTTTTGTTTCTTATATACAGTGTCAACCCTATTGCACACCTTTGTGACATCAACAGAAATGTGAACGCATGTGCCAGTCTTACAGGACCACTGATATCATTATAGTTTTTATCATTATCTCTGTTACTACTTTTAGTAGTCCATAGTAGTGTATTGACGATGTTGACAGCTCTCCTGCTACCTGTTCTTGGTTTAGGCATACTTTATGTTAAGACCAATGACGTGTATTGTCACAGTGACTGCTAGAGAGAGAGAGTTAGCTGGGGAGTTCCATCAAAATTTTGCTATGGGGTCCCATGACTCCTAGTTAAGCCGCTGAACAAGTGCATTTGATATGCAATTGACCTACTGAACTGCATTTGACCTGCTTCAGGTGGGTTTCCCTCACTATCTTCCCCTTTCTTTCTCTACCCTTGCTTTTCTTTTCTTTTCTTTTGGCTTCTTTTTTTATGTTCATTTTCTATTTTTTATATTCCTTTTCATTGTTGCAGTGCTAATTTCATAATGTTAACAGTCCATTTGCCATATGCACCTTTTTATCCACATAACATATGAGGGTAAGAAAGACAACTGGACTGTGCATTTATTTTTTTTTCTTTGTTGCCACCTTGCATTCTTGTGCTTACTTCATATTTGAGACCAGTCTGTCATCACTATTTATACTGGAACTGTCCCATCACTAGCACTGTGCTTTGTCACCTTATTGCCTTTGCTGCTACTTTTTCATTGTATTGTACTTTTCAGTCTTATTTGAACTGTATTTGCTCAATAAAAATTCCATATCAAATGAGTAGAAGCAAATCCACACACAATTCAGAGGGAAGCAATTATCCATTAAAAGAGTGTCACCATTTTTATTAACAAGTAAAACATGACCTCTGAATATTGGTCTGATATTTCATTGAATCATCATCCTGTTATAGCTTTGTAGTAATAGCTATGCAATCATCCTAACTCTTGATTGGACACATTCATGCACCCAAAATATTTACAGATATTGCTAATCTTCAATTGACTTGGTATCCTTAACTACTAAGATTCCATGGGGGTTCAATTGAATGACTGTCAAGAAAATAAGCCATAGGAACAAGTGACATCTAGTTTGCACCATACCACCAGCCCTTCATTGTCCAAACATAAAAAAGGTTAAGGGTTAAATGGCAGAATAAAAATGTCCTAATGTTTGCACTAATGTTGATTGTGATGTTCTATAGCGTTTTCCTTTTAAAGGGCAGGTGTACAAATGCATGGTGAGTTTTCGAACTATGTGAGGATGTTGCAGATAGTAAATATCATTATGCGACTGCAAGATTCGCCTTGTCATAGTACCAAAGGTGAAAACAATTGAGACTGTCAGTTGGCACTTAGGAAACATGCTTCAACCTTCACTATCTGTTTTGCCATTCATTACTGAATCTGAGACTTAAGACTTAATCCCATGAAAAGAGATAAGGCAGTGCAGAGCTCACTGATGTGCAGTAACCCCTAACAAGTAATTACATGCCAAATTTAATTAAATTAACACAGTCAGAAATGCTGGTTGGTAATTCTGGGTTACTTCA